CTCGTCATCCGAGATCTCCACGAGCGAATAGAATGGTTGCTGAAGATCAGGGGTGATACCTTCCAATATTAGAGCCTCTAGAAATAAGGGTGGTTAGATCAAGACTTATTTATTTTCCAACACAGCTAAGGATGCACTACCTCGAGATCGATATTTGAATCGGAAGATAGCAATGGGTCCATCGTCTTCGGTAAGAGTCGCGCATCTAATATACTTAGGCTTTACCGCAGGCTGTGTACGAGTGAACCTAAACCGTTAATTAATTTATGCCAGCTCAAGAAATTGATAAGTTGACTTGCTTAGTTCCATGAGACTTGGCTTTTCCTTTTACTGCTTCTCGGGATAGAATAAAGTCTTTGGGGTGGTTACCGCCAGGTACGAAGACTGGACCATTGCCTTGTACTGTAACGCGATACACCCGAATCTCGATTGTACCGAGTCGCTCTATTTTCTCTATGTTGGATTCATGCTGCTCATCTGTAGCGTTATCGGCTATGAGTGATCGTTAGTAGTGTGTATGCACATGAATGATAGGTACTTACTTTTGATGATGCTTGAGAAGGCAAATTCTTGAAGAATGTAGCGCGCATAGTCGTTAGGATTCTTCACTACACGGTAGCTGATTTCCCGCTCCCAATCTTCTTCCTTAGTATATTCCTGTTTACATAGCTCACCTTTTGCCCAGACGCCGTCAATTACTGCACCAAAATTGAGGACGTGTTCTTTAAAACTCCACGAGTACTCATCGGTTGCCTTGAGGTGGATTCTGAAGGGCTCGTTATCTTTGCATTCGATGTATTTTGTGACCATTCGTAGGCGCTCATGGACTCCGCCTGTTTTTGATGGATCGTCGTATTCCTTCGCAGTGCGGCCACCGGTGAAAATGGTGACCTCTAGGCCCGGCAACCCTCGGATAACGGCCATTCTCAGAGCTCAGCTTCGAAACGACTATGAGATATTGGTTATATCTAGTAAGTATCACTTAGTGTCCATGTATGTGAAGCTTGAGGAAGCTTCTAATGAGGATGGTAGTGCCAACTTAGTGTTGAGAGTCGAGTAGCTGTACTTTGGCAAGAGCGGTCAGTTGTATCTCAGAGTTGAGAGTGCAAATCGTGCAGGCATATGAATTTATGCCTTGAAGTTAGGCCTTTGATTGAAAATCACGCATAAAACATGAGGTAGAGAAAGGCCCCTCTAAGGTGTAAGGATGTAGTAGGATAGAATGTTACGCGGAAGGCAAGAGAATCCAGACGGCACTTCCAAATGGCGCAAGCACCGGCTTCTTCGCGATGTTCGAAGTTATTCTCAACTATTCTCAACCTGTTGGCTTGGTGTGGGTAGAGTGAGGGGACTTTGGGAAATATCATAGGTAGGTACCTAATGTAAGTGCTTATGCGGAAACGTTGAATTGAGCACTAGGTGGAGTAGTTGAATAACCAACCTAGTATGTGATGTTGATGGTAGGAGACGTCTCAAAGTTCTGGTCACTTTAAAAACATCACATGAGCTGCCAAAAAGTGGTACTCAAAGGAAGCAGGAGCCGAGAGAGATGCCAGCGCAAACGACCATCACGCATCAAATGACTAGTCCCTGTGATAACGAAAGCGTTGCGAATATTACGTCAAGGTCGGCAGTATTTGTGATGAGGCAGGAAAATCCGGAAGCCACATGCTCCAGGTCTCTTCCCTTTGACGGGTAGGTCTCTGGAAAGCTGATTTCATAGCTTTCCTTGGGTTCATCCTTCTTCCTGACTTCAACCTCAAGAGAATCCACAAAACCTATAAAAAGAAGTAAGAGAGCCTAGCATATTGCAATTATAAGTATTTAGCTATTTAAACACGATTGATAAACACTATTTTCGGAAAACATATTCCAAAAGAGCCCACCTGCTTTGATTAATCTGGGGTCAGATACAAAGTAACAAAATATGAAAGTAAACTACGTTACAACTATTTAGGATAACAGCAACTAACGATTATTACCCAGCTCCGACAACCCATAGTCAACGACAACTACATTCAAGAACAGCTAGCTACACAATTACTTTATGTCACACCCACGTACACACTGCAACAGAGAAATGCGAATGATGGAGCTCTTTTTTTCAACTCAAACACATTATAAGGTCGTACTATTTGCTGAAATTTTCCCACTGTTCGCTCCCCCAAAAAGGAAGAGAGAGAAAAACGCCTCCTCGCTCAATCAGATTTACAGAGTCCCGGAAAAGCTACTCCAGAACGGAGTCATCTTTGACACCCTCGGCCATACAGCACCGACAGCATTAACGCAATCCAGCATAGCAAGCGGCATCTAGCGGACCGTATTCGCCGAGACCGTCTTTGACTGTCCAGCCCAGTGGATTGCCGAGACCTTCAATAAGGGGTCCGAAGTGGCATGGAAATACCATTACTCGGTGACGCCCTCGTACCACGGCGCCAATCTTAGGACTACTTCGCGATTGGCGTAACGCTGCCCAGAGACGACTTCCGATATGCGATACAGAAGACTTGGGCAAGCTTTACTAATAGCAACACAACCACTCAGTTACGGACGTCATGGGTTACCACGAAAACATGTTCAACCCTCCCAGCAGGAACGGCACCGTTATTGACCGGCTCCAGTTCATGCACAATAATGCCGTTTACACGGATTTGGACAGTACCATAGGAGATGTTAGCATTGTCACTATTGTAGATACGTCAACCTACTATGTTCGGCCGGAACCTAGGGCGGCAAATGATTTCACTCTGGCCAACTCTCCCGTAGGAAGAGGATCGTGCCCATAGCCACAAGCATCGAACGCAGGAGGCAAAAATAGCAATAGTAAACATTATGTCCATAACGTCACCATGTGGCGCTGCCCTGCATGTATATAGGCTTCTTTGAGTCTGAGGACTTCGTTAGCGAGTGTACTTCTCCCAGGATTTATTCAACGATGATGCCATGAATTAGACATCTACACGTAGCACAAAGCAACTCTCAACCGTGTTACTCCTTAAACACAATTGTAAGCGAGAATAGAAGAAATAGGATTATATGTCATTGCGTTTGAATTCTAGTCCACGTAGCTTGTAACAGTGGCCTTTTATCTGGGAGTATATTGCAGGTCAGCGCTCTTGAACCAGATTATAACATAAGACTTTACGATGGCATAAAGTTGAGAAGGATTCAGTTGGAGTAGGTGAGTTACCTCCGGCACATTTGCGACATTGCCTGCCGGAGTCACATCAGATCATATAGATATGCAAGGCGTTACACTAAGGCTGAAGGAACGGGTTGACAGGATCATTAGGCTGCAGATCGTGCAGCTCATGGCATATGAAGTTGTAATTGGACATAATAAATACTCCCTCTCTGCGCAGTAGTTTTATAAGAACAAGCTCAAGAGGCGAATGTTGTGCTATAACTGTTAAAGATCTGCGAATACAACTACAGAACTCGGGTTAGAGCGCAACTCCTCCAAAGATCATATCATGTTATTCCCCAGTAAGCGCTGCCATCTCGTTGACGCCTCTTACGACAAGACATGAACCGGAGCACATTGTCCAAGCAGCAGGTAACAGTTTTTTGCCGAAGACAGTGGAAGACCGAGAATGAGACGACTTGAATGCGAAGTATAAAGCCATGTATTTCCTCTCCTCTGGTTGTTATGAAGACGCTCTCCAGACACACTTCCCAGAACACACCAAACACAATTTCCATTCACATCATTTCCCAGAACATAATCATTCAAAATGAAGACTGTCATTGCTATCGCCGCTCTCTTCGCCTCTATTGTGGCCGCGTCTCCTACCGGTGACGGGAACGTTCCTGCATATGATCCCCGAGACATCACGCCCGACGGACTGTGGAAGCGCTGGTGTGATGGCTCGCCAGTTGCGGACCCCATCTGCCCTCATGGTGCTTTCTGGGTAAGACGCGTCACAGTTAGATTTAAGAATATCAATGAATTGACTCGTTTCTTTTCATTTAGTGTGGCCCTGCCGATGGCCCTGGTCAGTGCAAACCGTGCGGTAAATCTTGTTGAGAAACTACACTGAACGGTGAAAAAACCATAAGGTGCGTGACGTATCAGCGCCCGCTTATAGCTCATGTTCATTGCTAACATCACATAGTTCCCATGTACGAAGTAGGGACGGTGGTATCGGTGATTGGATGATTCTTCTGACTGCGAGGACACTTGCTAGCCAGGCGTTTCGATCTTCTAACTATTCTCTTTCTATTGTATAGTAGCCCGTTGGACTAGCCGCTCGTTTAGGTACAAAAATACACACATATCTCGAGACCACTAAGTTGTTTGAAATGACTTGACTGTAACCATTCATAGCACGGTTTCATGGTATCAGCAATTTAAGTAAAGGTACCCCGACGTAAGCACACCTGACGTACACTATATTGAGGGACTTGATTTGGAAAGACTGTGCTCAAACGTCATCTCTGTAAACATTCAAAATGTTATGCCGTACACTACACCGGGTCCTCGAACAAACCTGGAGCTTACACAAGAAGAGCAAGGTAATTTCAATCTAAAAGGTGAACACGTAGTACCAAGGAGAAAACTATAAGCTTATGTAACCGACTACATGTTCAACTCAAAGGAGGCACGGGCACTTTACAACATCGACAAGGCATGCGCCTCACAACTGCTTGGGCCGGTGATGATGAATTTCGTATCGAAGATCTGAAGGGCAGGTAGAACTAGCAAATTGGTTAGTAGCTAGTGATCCGGTAATTTGGTTTTTGTTCTCCGATAAGAACTCGGTGAGATGTTGCCATCAGGTCTTCACATGCATGCTAACCGACGCACAAGCCTGGCATTACGTGCAAGTCAATCATCCACCAATACCAAGTAATAAGAAAGTGCCAGGAAAACAATAGAAGCGAAAGAAAAAAGAAAAAAAAAAAAAAAAAAGGTACGAGGGAGAAGAAATGTGAAATACAAAACAAAAGGGAAAAATTGGGTTGCTACTCCTAGTTGAACTAAGAGGCATCAGGAATTGAGCCCGATGCGGGGGTCGAACCTGGCAAGGTTGTCAGTATCTTAGTCGAACGCGGTTCGTGCGATGAAATATGGTAACTTACCCGCAACCTTGAGATTAAGAGTCTCACGCTCTACCGATTGAGCTAACCGGGCGCTGATTTGTTGATGATTTCGCGTCGCCAAATAATTGGCTATGATTCAGTTGGGATGATGGATGCGGATTGGATTTCAGATAGTGAAAGAAAGACTGGGGCTTCATTTAAGAAATTTTGCTGTTGGTAACTAACTAGCGTTGCGAAATCGGATATAGTTGTAGTATAACTAGCTCTCTCGCAAACGACACATACATGAACATGCTTGCTTGTCTACTTGTACTATGCGGTTCTTGGATTGGTTCAATCCTGTAGATTAAATAGTAACGTCTGGTTTGATTGAATTACATGGGGATCCCCAAGTCTTGCGACTCGCGAAGTAGGTTGTGACCCATTTCATTACGGCTAATGGGACTATAGCAAGGAATGCCAGAAATGTTTTTGATAAGAGTCGTCCATATATGGAAGCCTTCAAGGCTAAGCGACCATTCGAGGCCCTAAAGACCTGATTAGATCTATTAGATACCATGTCCAGAACAAAGGGCGTATACTCGGTACCGTAGGTTCGTTACCAGCTGTGGGTAGGATTCGTTAGTCTAGTCACCACGCGTAGCGAAAGCATGGTATGGAAATAGAAGATCCGGGGTCACCTGGCGGTCGATGGATTTCTACTTAGTGTAGATAGGTTAGTGAAATTATAGGCTCGTTTCATTCTGTCCTATACGAAATTCCTGGTGTTCTTGTTAGGTTGTCCTTGTCTAAAGCTATCAATGAATAGAAGACACTATCATAGCAGTAAGGTAGGCAGACAGATCTAAGTACTTGCACAGCTTCGAGGCGGCTCTTAACACTCCTGGGCGGATGTCTTAGCGTGCCTTGCAATTGGAAACCTATTGCGCCATACGTACAGTACAGTGCAGACATGAGGCAGCTAGGCATGCGTTACAGATAGGTAGATTAGAGTGCCCACTAACTACGCTATTTGACTAATATAGACAAGCCTTGGTCTATGAGTAGAACCCATCGGATCTTACGGGAGTTCCCGATCTTGTACTGTACCTAGTATACCTAATAGAAGTCTAGGGTAAGTGATAGTAAAAGGTATTACCTCATATACCAAATACCTACACGAAAGACCGATGACGCCAAGCCAGCCTTAGCCGACAGTAACAGTGTATGCGTACTTATCTTCTAAATTTGAACAGCTATCCCGCCAGCTCCTCCAGCACAGTTGCATCAGCTGAAAGAGGGTCGTACCACGTTCTAGTAATTCCCGGCCTCGCCTGCCGTCAGCCACATAGGAGTGGGTGGCCGACCAGTAATAAATAATTCCTGCTGAGGGTGTGAAGCCTGAGCCGCAACGATGTGTACCACCTATGCAACCATTTTCTGATTGATATAATATTAATTAGTTCGCGGGTAGCGCTTCGTTTTCGACCTCCAAGATAATGGCGTGCGACCCCTTTATAGAGGTGTGAATACCTATTCGTTGACGTGGTGTTATTTTTGACTTCTGACTAGGGCCTTGGTAGCCTGCCTTGCTGACTGTTTCTAGAAGCGTACCCTGTCAAAGGATCGCCTCAAGGGGGCAATTAGTACTAATCATAGTAGCAATCTTGACAAATCATAGTGAACATGTGGTAGAATAAACTGAGTATGAGTCCGTAATCCGGCAACACAAATTCTATTAAACTTGATAGTCTTGGTGTAAAAAGTGGATATTTGGGCGGTTTGCCTGTTCGCATGTATCTTGTTTTCGCTGTGCTGTCGTGGTTGAACCATTTTCTACTCTCTTTGCGATTACAGTATATTGATCGTCACCAACCTAAGACTGGGACAATGTGGCAGAATCCAAAACAACCTCCAAAACAACCTGAGAAGAAGATGGACACGCTTGGGGTTAATACGACGAGGCGGTTGCATCCCAACGGGATACCGACGGCGCGCCCGGTTAGTTGGAGTGCCATTCCAGCCGACGACCCGGCAGCGCACGAACAAATGATTAAGTTCGTCTCTGAGTCGATTGTGTGCGACATCCAAGGCAATATTAGCAGTGGGTTCATGAGACAAGTACAGGCTTCCAAGAAGAGTGGTATGTCCCCTCACGACAAAGCAGAACGGATGCGCATAATTCGCAATATGCGAACGACACTGGAGCGCCTCACGGAAGAGTTGGGTCAGAAGTTTTTCGAGGAATTCCGGGAGAGGCCGGCTGTTGGCCGTTGGTACGATTCATGGTTGTCTAACGAGACACCGCAGTTTCTGCGTTGGGAACAGGAATGGGCCCTCACGCCCGAGGAAAGTTTGATTACCGTCGATGCGCGCAGCATGGGCGGCAGTATTGACGGGCGGGTATTTGGTTCCGAAACCACCCCTGAAGTTAGAGTGGAATTTGAAGAGGATCTCGAAGAGTTTGAAGATACCCAATCGTTGGCACCAATTCCCGAGTACAGGCCGGATGCGCCGGTAACTGAGGTAAGCCGAACACATCCGTTTTTTGTGTCGGCGTGAGGCCTGCATACACTCTGCCAAGCTACGGTTCAACTAACGTGAAGTGTTAATAGAAAAAGACAGATGGCCCTGCACCATCTTCTACCGGCTGTCATTGTGAGAACGGGGAAGAGGGTTCTGATTTCCAGCATACCCATCTCTGCCAGACCTGTGCCTGTAGCAACCAGGGTTATGGTTGCATTGCCTCTTGTGGTTGTGACGAGACGTGCCAAAACAACTTTAATAACATCGCGCTCGACAAAATTATCGGCGTTGATGTTAAACTTGACCCCTGTTTCATCACCTACTTGCAAAAACATAGACAAAACGAAAACATCACGCTTGATTACCTCTTTGACCACCTTCTAACAGGTCTGGATTACGTACCGGATGGCAACGACAAGGCAATCGACGCGTGGCGGGTAAAATGGGAAACGAGTTATAGTGGACCGGATCCAGAAGCACAAACGGAAAAGCTGCAGCGCGAACTGGTACGTCTCGGCCTCGGACTCGGCGATAAGAACGGGGAATGGTTCTTCTCGCTGTGTTACAGCAACAGTGAGCGACTCGGAAGCTGGCAGCAGGGCCATCAGATATGGCACTGCAGAGACTGCGGAAGCTGCCGTGAACAGCAAGAGTGGCACTGCGGAAAATGCAACAAATGCACGTATGGGAGCGCGATCCCCTGTGGTGGATGTGGAGGCGTCTCAGACTTGTACCACGAAGAACATAAGAAGAACATGGGGGGTAACTGGATTTGAGCTGCCATTGTCAATGATCAAAGTCGCCTTGATCTCGCGAGGATTGAGGAGAGGAGGAACAGAACCGAGAACACGATTGTCTAGGGACAGACATGGATGTTGGAAATATGAGGATGGGACGGTGATTGATTGGTCTGGGTAGACATAACGAACGCCGCCCGGGGATCCTGGACAATACGACGACGGTATTGGGGCTCGATGCTCAGGAACAGGCATATAGCCACGAGGTTTGTATATAAAATAGCATATGGCCCACACTCCTTGATACATTTTCCTTTAAGCGTCAATTAGGTACGGATTTGAAGTGGGGGAACTCGGGAAGCCGAGCGTCTTTTGTATAACCCAGGTGCATAGGGGAGGAGTCTTGTGTCGAACTACTTTTGTTCGAAGGATCCAAATGTAGATACTTAGTTCTCATTACTTGTCATATAAACACTTTTCTTTTTACGAATGTCCTGCCTTGACTCGAGTAGATACCCAGGTTAGGTGTCAAATCCAGGTAGATACATGTGTAGATATGAGAAACAGCTTCTACTACATGTTGGTATCATGAAAGCGGGATACGTTACGAATTGTCGACTCAATAATATGCAGCAAGTAACTGATAGTAAATTAAAGATGTTGATGATGTATTCTCGATGGTCGATTGACGGACCAGGATGATACCTAGATAGATCTAAGGTCGGCATGTGGGGTCGATGTCATTGATCGGGGGCTACCGGTATACCTCAGGTACCTAAGGTACATACCTTACCTCCGTCTACAATGGCTACCTACATACATATACCTACAGCAGGTAGATACCTACCTAAAGTATGGGCGTTACCAGCCCCCGCCAACCTCTGTACTGCATGTAGTGTACCGTACCACAGCTCTCTACCTCCTGCGTGTATAGCGTTCGGCAGGCAGGTACAGTACATACTTCTTTCTCGGATGGGCAACTATCATCGAATGGAGCTATGCTGCAGTCTGGACTCGTAAGCACCATACCACTTGGAGTATTACTACGTCGACCTGAGCCTTGTGAATAGTCGCATTTGTCTCTCATGAATTGACATACATTCGTATTGTCACTTGAAAAGTTCCAATTGTGCATCCCCTGACTAATAAATAAACTACCACATGCCCTTTAGTACAGGACGTCATCTTTAACAAGCATCGAATAGGAGGCGGCTATTACGGCTCATTGCTCGAGTCTCCCCTCCGACCTCGACCCACGACCAACACCAGCACCACGACCAACCTTGGACTAAGTAGATAGAGCTTACATACAATACTGCATCACTCTACCTAGTTAGGAGCTCTCCACGACTAAGCCATCACTATTACCCCCCTCGACCCCATTACGACTACATTACGACCGCACCTACGTCCACGTCCACGTCCACGTCCCCGTCCGCTGCGCGTTCTAGTTGAGCGCCATCGTGCTGCGAGCGCGATCCCTTTCTCCCAGGCTCAGTCATCGACGACAATGAGGTTGCGCTCATGATCCCTCTCCTTCGTCCGAAGGAGTGCCACCATGCCGCCCGAAGGACGCTCCACTAATATCCGCGTCTTCATAAAATGGGATGACCAAACCGTGTTTGCCGGCGAGGAAATTAGGTGCCAGATCACCTTCAAGAATGTCGCCCCTGATCCTAGCCAGCTCACCTCGAACCCACGCCAACCCTCGTCGTCGTCCCCGAAATCCGATCGAACGAGACAGCCTTCACCATTGCTGAGCCCTCGAGGGGGTGTAGCGTCTAGCAACGGCTTAACACCGCCTGGATCTGCTCGTAATCACCGCTCAACGTTGTCTCTCAATGTACCC